TGTATAACTTAAAAATGCAGCTTCTAAGACCATGTGATATTTAAAGCTTTCAGGGAGCCTCTGATTATCTGCTCAGAGAAAGAAAACCACCTGCTGTGGACCCTGCAGGCTGATCCACTGAGGGCCATTCATCAGCGGGGGGGAACTAGAGACGGACACCTCTGGGAACCAAACAGGATATATTTGTTGGCTGTTCAACTTTGAGTCCATCTGTGGAGAGTAATGGTGTGATTGTGTGTTTTTCCAGTGTACGTCCTGCCAGGCCTGCAGGGAGACTCGGGCAGCAGAGGACCCTCAGCCCCCTGCTCCTGCCCCCGGGTTCAGCCCTCCCAGAGACAGATGGATAACGTCCTGACGGTCAGTCGCTCACAGTGCCAATCTATGCTGTAATGTTCTACCAAGTTAGGTCAACCATTCGGCATGTAATATAGAGCTACAGTCCTCTGTTTTCACCTCACGAGATGCCTGACTGAACAGTTTCAGGATGAAATACTCTCCCTTCCATCTCTGTTCAGGTGTTTGTCGCAGACGGGGAGAAAGAGATGAGGCGGCTGAGGGCGGAGAATGTGATGGTGCTGCGGACGGACAGAAGAGCGCTCTACATCTACACTGATTCTCAGTGGATGAACGTTCTGGTAACTGCCGGAGAGGCTGCCCAGCGAGTTATTAGAATAGGATCTGCATATTGTTATTTAAAATTCATGCTGTCAGCTGGATTCCAAACCCAAAACATGTTGCGCCTTCTTTGAAGCTCTGCTCTGCTTGTGCAAAGAGGTTCACACCTTTTTAAAGGCCCACATTAGAATAAATAAAAATCTAGATAAGTAATTTTTTCTCAAAAAAAGTGCAATTGTTCTTGAATTATGATTGTAAAAGAGACATTTTGCCAATAGAGCAAGACAATATACATTTAAAATCAGAAAAGACAATTGCATTGTCTTATTTCAAACACATTTTATCTAAATATCTTGTTTTAAGAGTAAAAATACTCATTACATTGGCCAACCATCTCGTTTACCTACTCAAATTAAGGGTAAATACACTTAATTTAAGACATTTTTACTTATTTCTAGATTTTTTTTCCAGTTCAGAAACCTTCTGCAAATCAGAACATTTCCTTAAATACACCACAAAAAATTTAAATCTCAATAAGTATTTTTTTTTTTCTTAAAATAATGGCATTTGTTCTTAAATTCAGGAGGTAAGTGAGACACTTTGCCAATGGAACAAGACAATTTACATTTAAAATAAGAAAAAACTGTTGCATTGTCTTATTTCAAATGCATATTATCTAATTGTCTTATTTTAAGAGTAAAAATACTGATTTCATTGGCAAATCATCTTATTTACCTCCTCAAATTAAGGGTAAATATACTTAATTTAAGAAATGTTTACTCTTGTTTAGATTGTTTTTGCAGTGTAAGTCTGTTAGAGTTGATGCACAGCACCAACTTCTCCTCTTCAGCTGCAGCTGATGCCTTTTGGGTTAACAGGATCCTTTCCTGTGGAGGTGGTCATACAGATGGAGATCAGTGCTGCAAGTCTCACTTTAAAAACCTTTGGCGACCAAATGGGATCAAACTCCTTTTTAACATCCTTTCTCCACAAATACTATCAGTTTAGGGCATGGATGTAATTTTGGGGGGGCATGGGGGCGACATGTCCCCTGAACTTTTTCAAACATCCATTTTGGTCCCCGGGACGCTTTACTGTCCAAAAACAATGTCGCACAGACATTAGTCGAGCACTATGACCAAGCGGAAAACCGTAACTCAACCTGAACCACTGACCTCTATTCATTTACACATTGCTGATTTCCCGTTGGTAGTACGGCGTTGAAGTGAAGCCACTGGCGGCCATATTGGTACTCCCTTGATAGACCGGTCGCAGTGTAAACAATACGTGCACTACAGCATTAGACAATGAAGATGTTCTCATTTTTAGGGGGACTTAAAGGAATAGTACACCCAAAACATGATTAGCCTTCATTTTCTACTCACCCCCATGCTGAACAACACTCTGGAGTACTTTTTTGAT